CTCAATAGATCACTCTTGAAGGAATCAACACACCCCCAAAATCACTCACTAATAGCACAAGAAGAGTATTACAAGCAATGATCACTCAAAGATCAAAAACTCAAGTTTAAGCTTAAGTAGGTAGGTAAAGATATGCAATGTTATGTTCTCCTTTCTTCTTCATATATGTTACCAATCATATTTCGAAAATAACCGTTACTAGCCGTTGGGGGTCATTAAATGCTTTGTAGGACGCAAAAGTCGAGTTGCAGGATTGTCAGGAGAACTGGCTTAACATTCTAGAGCCGGCTTACACTCCAGAGCCGGCTTACACTCCAGAGCCGACTATCCGGTTTGCAGACCATTCTGTTTTTCTCGAGAGCCGGCTGCAAAACTTTGAGTGGGCTTTGCAACTCCGACTTTAAATACATTAAATAATCGTCAACTGACTCGACCGTTGTGCATTAAATGGACCCTCACAGCCGGCTATAAAGTTGGAGCCGGCTTTGCGTCTTTTCTCCGCCGCGTCGAGCAAATTTTTGCCTGTAGAGCCAGCTGCAGCTTCTAGAGCCGGCTCTCTGCTCTTCCATTTCACTAGAGCCAGCTGCAGATTTTAAGAGCCAGCTCTCTGCACATTTTTAATCCTTTTGGTTTATTTTTAGTACAATCCAAGTTTACTTGCAATCTTTTAGCAACTTAACTACACACTTAAATAAACCAATTAATCACTCAAATGTGTTTTGTAATCATCAAAATCATAGGTACAACAAATTGCAAATTTGGTGTAAGTTCGGGTCCTTATGTCATATTTTTGCCTGCAGGAATAGTATAGAATTGACTATTCAAAGTTATAGAAACCTCTATTCTACATTGTATCCATGCTAGTAATGAAACACGTAAAAATTTGGCCCCTCAAGCAACCACCGCCACCCGCTACTAGGATTGCGACCAATCTCCCACACCGACTGACCACCCTCAAACAAGAATCCTAGCCGAAGACAACCATAAAAGAGGACAATTTTTTCATTTATGTTAATAAGGGTTTTTTTTTTTTTGAGACAATGTTTTTATGCATTTGACAATAGAATATGCAAGTGAAATAACTTTTTCTAAAAATTAAATATGAGTTTTAATATTAAATTTAAAATTAATAAACAATAATACAATAAAATAACCTTTTCTATATTTTGTATTTGAGCCACATTATTTTTTTGTTATACCCTCTATCTTTTAAAATTTCTCCCTACCTTAAAGTTTTGAGAAAGGTTGTCAAAATTGAAATTTTACCTAAAATCATTTTCGTTAGATAAAATAGAATCGTAAAATCGAATCGGTAAAATCAAGAGCTCACTAAATTAAATAAATAAATAATATAAATTTAAGTTTTTATATTAATATAACTAAAATTTAATATAACTAACATATATTTTATTTTGTTTCATGTGCTACATGCAAAAAGAGAAAATTTAATGAAGAAATTTGAAAAAAAAAAAAAAAAA